AACTACCTGAAGGGAGGTTGTAGTGAGCTGGGGGTCGGCCTCTTCTCTTGTGTAACTGGTGATAAGACTAGAGGGAATGGCTTCAAGCTGCGCCAGTGGAGATTTAGGCTGGACTTTAGGAAATACTACTTCTCTGAAAGAGTGGTCAGGCACTGGAATGGGCTGCCCAGGGAGGTGGTGGAGTCACCGACCCTGGAGGTGTTCAAGGAACGTTTGGATGTTGTGTTGAGGGAATATGGTTTAGTGAGTACTGTTGGTGATAGGTGGATGGTTGGACTGGGTGATCTTGAAGGTCTTTTCCAACTTTGGTGATTCTGTGATTCTGTGGCAACTCAGAAAAATGACAGTTACTGCTGCTGACTGTTAACACTGGGGAGACGATGAGAAGTAAAGATCGAGAAACAAAAGTAGGAAGATGTAGTAACCTCTCTAAGTATGTTAAAACAGAGGATGGATTATCCTGCAGAGTTCATTGCAGCTCACAAAGGAGGTTAGGTAGCACTTAATTCCTTATAGCAAGGCGTTTAATAGCAGGGGATGCAGATGGTGTGTTCAGACGCAGTCCCATTTCTTCATGATGACCCTCCCTTCTCTGTGCAATGAGACACCTTAATGTGGAAACGTGGTCCCCCGGCTGGTCCCAGCAGGCAGGATGTGCTGCAGTAATGTACAAACACATGTCCTGCGCTCGCAGGGCTTCCTTCCCACATGGCCATAATGAGCTCTCTGTATAGGAGTTTCTAATTTACTCTTACCCTGAAGGATAACATAAGCAATATGGGAATGTCATTAAACATGGCATGTGGTGTTGCTGTGAGCTACTTTCTCCTTATGAGTTCTGTGGGTGAACAGGGACTTGTTTCCTCAGAAGGTTTCTTGTGCTGAGTACATCAATTGGTCACACAGAAAATCATTAGAAGGCTTAGGACAAGGCGCTCTGATAAAAAAACCAAAACATAATTGCTGGCACTCAGCCTTGCAGCTCAGTGTGGGAACTTCTTCCCACATGACAGAGGGAGAGTGGTGTGATCCCATGTACAGCACCTCTTTATGTACCCAAACATAAATAATTACGGTTAGTTCATGTCTCATTGGAAACACAGAGACTATCACGCCTTGGCTCTCTTCCACTTTTGCTGTTTTCTTTATGAAAAAAGAAACCTGTGTGTGGCCATAAGCTAAATTTACGTTATAATTAAACATGATTGAAATCGACCCCATTTGCTTTTGTCTTAAAATTGTCCCAGTGGGGGAATGTGGAGAACCCAGATTTATTGCTTCATCTCCTCAGTTCCTCTGCTGCTCTGGCTCCAGCCAAAGCTGGGCTGTGAGCAGTGAACGATCCTACTCCGTTATGGGGTGCATGGAGCCGGACAGTGACAGCTGGCAGCCATGGGCTCTGCTGGCTTCGGACCAGGGGCAAATTCCCTTCTGATGGGAAAATTCTTTGCTGGTTGGCTGTAAGCAGATTGCGTGCCTTTAAAAGAGTGCTTACAGAGCAAAAAGCGATGCTTCCTTCCTGCAGCTTGAGATGGCTACATTAAAACAAAAAGAGGGGAGGTTTAGGTTAAATATTAGGAGGAAATTCTTTACACAGAGGGCGGTGAGGCCCTGGCACTGCTGCCCAGTGGTGCCCCATCCCTGGAGGTGCTCAAGACCAGGTTGGATGGGCCCTGGGCAGCCTGAGCTGGTGGCACTCAGCCCATGGCAGGGGTTGGAACTGGATGGGCTTGAAGATCATCTCCAGCCCAAACCAGTGTATGATTCTATGGCTCTTCCAAATCTGCCAGCTTGAAAAATGCCATTAAAAAAAACAAAATGTTCTTGAGATTTCTTCCCGTCTCAGGGGAATCTGAAATGCACTGTTTTTAGCTGTGCTCATTTGCAGCTTGAATGGCTCACAGAGGTCAGCAGCAGAGTATGGACTTTTTCACCCCTTGAGCAATGAAGCATTGAGTAAAAGTTATTATTACCAATTAGCAGTGGCCTGTATGAAGCAAATCATTAGTCTTAGTTCAGTTATTAGCAACCAGGTGTTCATGAGAAGTACCATGTGCTGCTGCCATTGTACATTAGTGGTGTTTGCAGCCTAAATTGAGGCCAGTTCTGGATTTGGGACATCTCCATGCTGTCTCTGGGTGTTTTTTACCCCCACCCAAAGAGTGTGTTAAGAGACTGCATGGAGCTTTCTTTTGTTGCTGTTAGTTTTATGTGTAGATTACTTTGGGAATAAGTAAGGGAATGGCAAACTCTAGAGCAGTGGCCTTCTACTACTTGAAAAGAGCTTATAAACAGGAGAGAGGAGGAGTGACTTACTACACAGGCAGATAGCAATAGGATAAGGGGGAACGGCTTTAAATTAAAGAGGGGAAATTCAGGTTAGAAGTTAGGAAGAAATTCTTTACTCAGAGGTCGATGAGGCCCTGGCACAGCCCCAGAGAGCTGTGGTGCCCCATCCCTGGAGGTGCTCAAGGCCAAGTCGGATGGGCCCTGGGCAGCCTCAGCTGGTGGTTATATTGAACTACTAATAAAAGAACAACAAAAAGAATAACTAACCAAACCTCAATACAGCAGATATTTATTGCATAGGATTTACGCAATGTGCAGTAAGAATTGCTGTTCATGGTTTTTGGGGTATGAAGAGCAAGTTAGAATGTGGCTTTCCCTTTCAGTAATTCAGATGTCTTGTGATTTTCACTAGAGGCAAGGAGGGGTATGCTGGGCAGTTTCCATGCAGGTGGCAGGGCTGGGGCTAGCAGCAGCTGGGAGGGACATCTGGTGGCCGATCCAGGAATGGAGGCTCAGCATCAGCAGCTGGAATGTAATTGCACTGTAGTGATTAAGGCAAAAGCATCCCTGTGTTTTCAGTGTGATTACTTTTCTGTTTCAATATGACTCTAGAAACGTTTAAGCATGTTTACATTTCGGTTTGTGTATGGTTCTAATTTACTTGAAAATAGAAACTAAGGCCTTGTTCTTGAGCTGGCAGACGTATTATGTCCAACACCCATAATAACTCAACAGGACCTTAACTTACAGCTGTCAGTAGCTTTTAAAGCAAACTCATGATATTGCACAGTGGTTCTGTGGGCAGAGTGAGTATACGCAAACCCTGTGCTTTTGGGCTCCCTTCCAACTCAACAATTCAGTGATTCCTTTGTTTCAGTCCGTCGGTCCCCAGGCATGTTGATCCATCTTTATGTTAGAGTGTTATGAGAATTTCTTGCTTCCAAGTTCCATAAGTGAAGAATTGTAAAATGTCTTCTTTGTGCCTCTGCTATATTAAGTAAAGATACAGTGGACAGTGTTGTTTAAGATTACCTTGGACCCTTGTGGATGCTATATACATCCTCAAAGGTGCAGGAATTTTAAAAGAGAAGCTGTTCAGGATGAGCTTTCTGGCATTGTGCAGAAGTGTCTCAAAGCTTTCTATGATATCTGCCTTCTGTTGAGAGTTTCAGAAGAGGGAAGGCAAGTGAGAGGCACACCAGTAATAATTGGAGTGATGTCCACCTGCATAGTACAACTGGGGAGATGGAGCCTATTGCATGGCCGGTACCATCCATAATGCTGAGCTGGAATCTAGCCATCACCTCATTGTGTCCTTCCTGCTGCTCTCCCACCCAGCTCCCAGCAGCAGGCACTGGCTGTGTGTGCTGCCTCCTGGGAGCCCGTATCGTGTGCTCCTGGGGGGCAAGCATGGACTTCCCAGGGCCAGCATGGTATTTGTGGGCAGAAAGAGGAGGGTTGAGTTCATTCACTCTTGTTTATGACGATCTTGTGTTATCCAAATGGTCTTCTCTTACAGTAGTGTGTTCTTGAAGTGACGATGCTGATAAGTTATGTTTTGTAAAACTTATCTCAACTTTTCTACTTTGTCACATGAAATTGCCCATTGCTACCCCAGTGGTTCTGTCACTGTCCTTTAAAAATTTCACCACTCTTGGTGTTGATAAAACAGAGAAGCACTGATGTTTATATGCTTTACCCTTTGTTTCTAAGGCATTCCAAGGCTGTGGTGACAGCTGTGAGATTGGGGGTAGCCACAGAGTTGTTACAGACTTGCAGTTTTCTGTTAATGAGAAACTGGTGTTCATCCACAGCCCTTCTACATCGTACACAATCTACAACTCTTTGCTGCAAGCGGTCCTTTATAACAAAGATTGTTGTTTTTATGTTTCAGGTGCAAAGATGGCTTGAAGGGATTTACATACTCTGCACTGAAGTAAGTAAGGAGAATAGTTCTTTGAGTACATAGCATGAAGAGAAGATTTTGAGGAATTGTGCACAGAAGAAGCTGCATTGCATGGAATGAGTTCTCCTAAGTAAAAGCATGCCGTTATATAATTTTATGATGGGGGGGATAAACAGCATATTTGAATGCACAGTATGCTGGTAAGAGAGGAAACTTCTTATTCTGAATCATTATAGGAAGGAAATGAAGACACATGCTTGTGTATGTTTTTGAAGGCATGTTAATCTTTTTTTTTCTAAACCTGGGATTCGTGATTCACATTATTCTCCTGGAAGGAAAGGGCTGCTGTGTTTTGACCTGGAATTTATTTTCTGTGCAGTTCTGTGACCAGCGACCAAATAAATCATGGACTTCTGGCATATCCTATGCTACTAAACCTTGTATCTGCCTTGGTAATACTGACTTTCCTAGAGTTTACTTTACCATGGAACTCTTTGGTCGCACCCCCGCATTTAATACAGAGTTCTCCAGCCATTGTGTCTTCTGGCAGAAGTAGGAAGAGACAGTTTTCTTATCACTTACTTGATATGCTCTGCTATGAGGTTACCACTACAACAGCCCATGGTCAGTACCAGCTCACAGGTAAAGAGAAGAACTGAAGCCAAAGTCAAGGAAAGCAGAGCTGCTGTTGGTAGTGGAAAATATTTTATAGAATTTGCCACCATAGTGAAGCAGTTAAATAAGTCACCATTCCTGGAGGTGCTCATGAAACATGTCACCACGGCACTGATGGCCCTGGTTAGTGGGCATGGTGGGGATGGGTTGATTGTTCAACTAGATGATCTTAATGGTCTTTTCCAACCTTAATAATTCTATGATAATGAATTCTGTAGTCCAGAAATCTGGACATGAAACAATACTGTGATGACCATCAGTGCTTTCTGAAATTATTAGTTTTCTGGGAGGTTTTGTCATAAAACAAATGTCAAAGATTTATACCTTTACCACCCTCAAGAAAACTGCCAGGGGATTACTAACTTGGATTACAGTGCTAAGTGTTAGGAAACAGTGCATTTTGCCATTGTGACCTCCTTTGCCCTGTGATACCCCGTAACCTGGGATGAACTGATTTTGTTGATAGTATCAACTTCTAGGGGGAACTGAAGATGAAGCTGAGCACAACAAAATTGATGCTCTTGGTGAGAGCACAACAGTTTGAAGATTTTACAAAACGGGTATTTTATAAAAACATCTCAGGAGTTATCAACCTTCTTGTAACTCAGTTTGCTGGAGATAACTGAGACATTTCACACGTAGTTTCATTTTCTTATTTGATGTTTTTCTTTCCTATGAGAGGTGGACTTCCCCTGTAATATTTTTGTGCCTTGTTTTAAAAAAATTCCTGACGTCACTTTTGGCTGTTATCTCAAGTTTGTGTTGGTGGATTAATCTTTTCCAAGGAGATACAAGTGGGGCACCTGTCTGTTTTTGCAGACCTGTGGATAACTTCAAGTTTGTCTTACAGATTTTTAGAGACTTTGTTTTAGAGACTTCAGAGACTTTGTATATCTTTCAGTTATTTATGCAACTGTTGTTCTGTTTGTTTGTTTGTTTGTTTGTTTGTTTCCAGATTCATTGTAGGGAAAGAAGAAATCCCCACTCATTCATTTTCACCTGAAGCAGCATTTTCAAAAACAGAGAGAAAAATAAAGCCTTGTGAAAAAATATCACAGCGAATGAACTTGTTGGTTCTAACAAAAAAGCTGATGGACAAAGTGTGAGTCAAATGAAAGTAAAAAAGTAACAAAACAAAATGAATCATTCCTACTCAGCTCGTTTTAATGTTTAGTTACAGTGCATTTGATAATGTTTAAGGACTCTTTCGCTTTGCATTTAAGTGTTTTGCAATTCTTTTTGACTGGATAATTAACAGTAACAAGTTATGAACCCTAAGAAAAACAAAATTTAAGACCTGTTTGTCGTAGCAGAGATTCAAAATAGCTTGCAGTGCAGCTGTCTAACAAGGCAGCGTAAGTTCAACCAGTTCTGCATGGTAGAGTGCTGTTTGCTTTTTCTGCAGCACTGGCTCATGGAATGCTTTCACAAGTACTGGTAGTGATATTAAAGAAGGAAAACTGCACAGCAGCTCTCCTTATTTAGGTCTCCTTAAGTTACCATCACATCATTTGTTTTTTGGGACCCACAGCCCTGTATTCTAAGAACAGAATTTGTAGCACTTCCATGTCAGGAAAGTCGCAAACAAAAGTGAATCTAAAGCTGTTTTTCACATGAGGTCAGACATGGACAGGTAGATTAGCTAAGACACGTTCCATCCCTGCCTACAGAATGCATTTTGCTGACCTTTATAAGGTACAAGTGTCTAAGCTTGAAGAAGTGATATGGAATGGCTTTTCAAGCTTTTATAAAGATAATGGAATAACAAATCGAGAGGACATCTGACCATATCACACCTGTAATTTCACTTCCACTGACTTCTTCAGGAGCAGTTTTGTGACCAGACCTCTACCTACTGATACGCAGTAGGAAAGAAACAAGTCTACAAAGGGCAGTGTGTAGTGGCTTATCTTATTTGCTCAGCTAATGAGCAGATGTGAATTGGCCTGTATTACAGGGAGACTTCCTATGATTTTTTTATGGCTTTGAATTGAAAAATACGAGGAAAATCAGCAATCCTTTTCAGACAAGATTGTATTAGTTAAAAAAAAGAAAAAAGACCTACAAAGAGAAGAAGCAGATTCCTCTAGCTGAGTTGTTTATATCTGTTTTGTCTTAAATACTCCTTATTCATAGCTCTTCTGCTGTTCACTAAGTACTAGGATCAAGAGACTATGTGTGGAGAAGAGTATTTTTTCTTTAAGGTTTTGAATCTTCCTACTCAGACATTCAGAAAACTTCCAGTTTTCAGCCCTAATGCTCTCACAGCTTTCTCTTCCATATGGTTCTTTTCAATATAATTGAGTCTAAATGCCCGTAACCTGATCACATTCTCATTACAATTTTTGCTACATAAACTGACCTCACAGATGATTTATGGCCATTAGACCTTATAGTACGTGATTCAAAACTTCCAAGATATTTGGCACAGTATATAAATTGTGTAATTTATTTTATATTAAAACTTAAATACTTGGCTATAGCAAAATGTAACGCTGAAACACGGTATGACATTACTTCTTTATAATTCTACATTATGCAGGGCTAACAACTGCACAGTCTGGGAATCCCACCATCCCAAGCCAATCTTTCTTATACAATGAAGGTCAAATTTGCAGTTCGAAGTCAGAGCCACAAAACAACCTACAGAGTAGGTGAATTAGCCCAGAAGTGAAATGCTTGTAATTGGAAGATGTCTCATGGGATAACTCTGTGCATTACCTGCTTCTCTTTCCAATGAACCTTACAGTGCTATGAAAGATAGGACAAGGTGAAATGGGAGGCACTGGCACAAGTTGCCCAGAGATGATGGAAGCCATGTCCCTGGAGACACTCAAGATCAGGCTGGATGGGGCTTTGAGAACCTGATGGGGCTGTAGGTGTCCCTGCTCACTGCAGGGAGTTGGACTAGATGTCCTTTAAAGATCCCTTCCAGCTCAAACAATTCTATGATTCTGTGTAAGACCACAGATAATTAGTGAAATATATAGGCAGACTGGAAAGGGCGATACCCCTAGAGTTCTGTCTCATAGCTGCTCCCTGTTGCCCACAGCAGAAAAAGTGTTGCTTAATTTTGTATTATAGGTGTAGCATGGCAAGAAAAGAGGTTGGATCAAAATAAATCTGCAGACACTTTTGCTGTACAACTAAAGTATTGTTTCTTTTTATTGCCCTTTTATGGCATCATAAAAGCTCACAGTGCCCTTCGATGGTGGGAAAATAACACTTTATGTATTTTTAGGCAAGAAAAATTTATGAAGTCTCCCATTGATTAGACTGAAAACAGCTACAGGTTAATACGTGTTTCATTGTGCTTTTTGCAGGTGCAAACATGGCCCAAGGCATAGATGCTGTAAACACTATGAAGATAATTGCATCTCATATTGTATTAAAGTAAGTGCAGAAGTTAGATTGACAAACTCTGGCAAAGATGGGGTAAAATTCTTTGGTTGGAAAAAGCGTATACTTCGGAAATGAAAAAGGAGCCTGTTACTCGTTCTTTCTCTATTGAAAATGTGACTAGCCTGAAAACACGTTTTCTCAATTTTGGATGGGGCAGAGGTTAAAGTTTTCTCATCTCACAGATTAGCTGAAGTGAATGAACAATGTAAAACGTGTGGGAAAAATGGATTGGCAAGCGAGGAACTGAACTATGTGATGCACTCCGCGGCTGAGCGCATTTGTGACTCCACCCTAAATAAAGCACCTGGAATGTGCTGCTTCGGCAGCGCCATGTATACAGCTGTGGTGTTTGGCACACGAGGCTGGCTCTGAGCTCAGTCCCCCGTTCATTTATTTTAATGGCTCAGAGTAATGAGAGATTGCTCCCAGTTGCTGCGCACAGGAAGAGCTGGCCATGCCCAGTGGCAGAATTCATCCTCCTTTAGAGGAGTGCCGTGCAGGGGAGGCTGTTTTGGCTGGTGTTGGCTTGGCACAGGTGGTACCACCTGCTGTGCCTTTTTTTAGGAGCTGGTAGGACTCCAAAAGATTTTGATCACTTAATAAATCTACTCATTTTTATTTATGCAGATGCAGAAAATGATTTGAGTGTTTTCAATTGCTTCCGATGCATTCTTCTCACTTTTACCAAATCTGTTAGAATTTGCCCATGTTGAATGATGTGGCATTTTATCTTTTCTTCTGGCCCACAAGGTAGTAGTAAATTTATCAAAGCTTCAGCATAAAATGGTCTTGCTCAGAGACAGGGATCAGAAGGCAAAAACAAAGTGTATGAGTTCTGGAGTGGATTACCTCCATACATTTTTTGTTATTTACTGTACAAGCCAGAAATTTATAACACATTTCCTGTTGGTGGCACATACGGCCAGCATGGTTATTCAGCATGACATGCACGGACATCTAAGTAATGCCCACCTTCCTAAGGTCTTTTGGTTTCTGCTTGTATGACAGTGGTATCTGTGAAGTAGTGCAAGTTTGGCAGTTGGATAGGTTTGTGATACTTTGCTGCTTCAAATTAGATTTTTGTTCTCAACCTCTTACCACTGTCTCAGTCCACATGTGATCTCATTCATGGGCTGTGGCTTTTCTTTAGGGTGTAACTTCTTGGGGACAGACTTTCCTCTTGCTTTGTGTTTGTTCAGTGCCTTGCCCAGTGAGTGTGCTATTCAAGGTCTCCTGGACACCTTTGTCCCCCATCTCCTAAGAGCTTGAATTGGTCAGCATCCTTTGGGTACTCTGTTTTCCCCAGAGACATCAGTGTCTGGCCCACAGCATGAATGTCCAACACTACAGTGAGGTTTATATTCAAAACAAGGAGTACAGTCAAGCAGAAGTGATGTTATGGGTTGGTCTGGTTGCATTTCCAGATGTCTGCTGATGTAACATCTCCTACTGTGCATCTGTTTTAAAGGATGCCTTGCTAACTTCAGCATGCTTCAATTTGTACATAATCCCTGTTTTTCATTACATATGCATATTTATAGTAATTAGCTTTTAACTGCTGCTAGACCAGACTTTCTGAGGTTTTTTAAAATAATGTTACCAAATTCTTAAGCAGTTTAGTAATCTCAGACAAAATCCTTACACGTTCTGTGCTACATGTTAGCAGTATCTGAGTATACATCTGTAAGTGTCCTCATAACCGCATTTTATTTTAGAAGCACAGCTAGAGCAAAAGAAGAGATTTCTATTAGAGTGCTACTTTTAGAATTGATACCCTTTTCTCTGTGAAAAACTGTCTTAATCTAGTGGAAAATTTGTTTTGTTTGTGATTTCATAAGTAAAAAAAGAGGTAATTTTAAGTCAAGATACCAGCATGGCTGAACCGAGACCTGCAGGTCATCAAACTGAAGAGCAAGAAGAAAATACACAGGCAGTGGAAACAAGGATGGGTAACCTGGGATGAGTATAGGACTGCAGCTAGGCTGTGTAGGGATGGAGTCAGGAAGGCCCAACTGAAACTGGACTTGGGAAGGGGCACAAAGAAGGATGAGAAATGCTTCTATGGATACATTAACTGCAAAAAGAAAGTCCAGGAGGGCGTACCCCCCTGTAGTAAGCAACACTGGCAGGATGGTAACAACAGACAAGGAGAAGGATGAGGTTTTGTAAATGCTTGAAGAGTGTGGCAGGCTACTGGAAACAGCTGAACAACATTTTTCTTTGTGACTCCTGTTGATTACAGTGAGGAAGCCTTAGCTTAAGGCAATAGTCTTCTTGTCTCTTCTTCTCTGTCAGTGCTGCTGATGAAAACAGGTGGCTCACACAAGATCTTTGATCATAGAATCATGGAATGGCTTGAGTTGGAAGGAACCTAAAACCCAACCAGTTCCAACCCCTGCTGTGAGCTGGATGCCCCCCACCAGCTCAGGTTCTCCAACCTGACCTTGAGAACCTCCAGGGATGGGGCATCACAGCTCTCTGGGTAGCTGTGCCAGGGTCTCACCACTCTCTGAGTAAAGAATTTCCTCTTAACATCTAACCTGAATCTTCCCTCTTTAAAATTGTTCCACTTTGGGCTATTGCTGTCAGCTGTTGTGAAAAGTCACCCTCCCTCCTACTTACAAGCTCCCTTCAGTAATGGAAGGCACGTCTCCAGGCTGAGCATGCCCAGCTCTCTCAGTCTCTCTTCACAGGAGAGTCACTCCAGCCCTCTGATGGTCTTTGTAGTCCTTGTCTCAACCTGGTTCCTGAATTGAGGACTCCAGAAGTTTCACTGTACTGCTACATCTAACTGACCTCAGTCACAACTTTAAATTGCTGTGGAGAAATGGCTTGTAGGAGAGTTTACTTCTCTCATTTAAGTTTATTATGGTTTCCTGCAAATACTTTACTGTTTTCTACCTCTATTGTGTGAGGTCTTTTTTAGGGAAAAGTAACAATACTATGCATTGGTCTAAAATAATACTTCTGTGACTCTGGAAACCTCCTGTAAATATGTGTTCTGATTTAATCAGCTAAACAGAAAGAGTTTGTGCACTATTTGTGATGCTTTCTTGTGCATCAAAGCTAATCTATAATCATTGCTCTCTATAACTACCTGAAGGCTCTCTATAACTACCTGAAGGGAGGTTGTAGCGAGCTGGGGGTCGGCCTCTTCTCCCGCATAACTGGTGATAGGACTAGAGGGAATGGTTTCAAGCTGCGCCAGGGAAGATTCAGGCTGGATATTAGGAAATACTACTTCTCTGAAAGGGTGGTCAGGCACTGGAATGGGCTGCCCAGGGAGGTGGTGGAGTCCCCTTCCCTGGAGGTGTTCAAGGAACGTTTGGATGTTGTGTTGAGGGATATGGTTTAGCGAGAACCATTGGTGACAGGTGGATGGTTGGACTGGATGATCTTATAGGTCTTTTCCAACCTTAGTGATTCTGTGATTCCGTGATCCTTAGTGCTGCAGCTCAGCATTACTCATAGAATGGCAAATATAAGTGACTGCCAGCTGGCACTGAAGTGTCTCTTAACACAATGTTCTTCTTCCTATCTGAATGGTCCTTCCTACAGCTGGGAAAAAATCCTTACCTGATTGTTGTATGTTCTCTTGTTAGGGCTTTGATCATAACTGGTATTTTTAGAACTTTCTTTTTATATAATGGTACCTGGTATTGTAATCATCTTTTTGTGCTAGAAGACAGGGGCTGTGTATTTTACAGTAGAGTACTTCTTTGTTGATGGTATGAATTTATGTTCATCTTAATTTTGACGTTTTAACTATACAAAATTCACAATGCACTTAGAACTCTGCCTACTGTACATACCTTTCAATAGGCATTTTCATTATAGGACTTCAAAACACTGGGTTGGTAGCACAGTACAATTTACACACCTTTAAAAGTAGCAGCAGAAGAAATGGAAAATTTTCATGTGTAGTTATTGGATCCACTGGATGACACGAAATAGTTTCTTTCACTTGATTCCTGTAAACCACTTTTTGAGTAGCAGCTCAGCGAGAGTAATTGTTTCAAGAAGTTTTACTGCTGAATGTTTAACCAGAATAAAGTTTTATGAGCTTGATGATGCATTAGAAAGTTCTGCAGGAGGCAAAGATGTTTTGAGTTTCTGAGCTGGAAAGTTTGCTCAATCCAACTTTCTTCTTCGATACAACTGTCTCTGGGGTTATCTCAAAGATCCAAAAAATGGGCTGCAGAAATTATAAGCATTGTTTGCTGCCTGATCTGCGAATGATGAGTGCACAGCATTCTTATAATTTTCAGATGAGGTATCTACCGACAAAACAACGGATAAATTTTATTCAAAATTCTCCTAGAAGTTCAGCCATAGGGTAAAAATGATGATAGGAAGCTTGGGAGGAAGTTACAAGAGATCAGGGAAAAGGATTTGTAGAGAAACAGCGTAGTTTTGTGATATAAAATAGCAGATCTATGTCTAAGGTGAAACAGCAAGAAAAAATAATTTGAGCCAACGTTATTCTTTTGCAATAGCTCTGTAAAAATCTCCTGTCCAGGTTTGGCCTTGATCTTACTGCAGAGCTCACTGAGGCACTGGTTTGGTTGAGGAAAAGTACATGAGCTTGTGCCAAGCCATTGGGGTCAGTTTCTAATTCTCCCACTTTCTGAAATTTATTTTGTGTGGACTTTTTACTGCTTTAGTGCGTTCTCAAGACATTTGAGTGTAGAAGTGCTGTTTTCCCATTACTTTCCTCTGTGTATTCATTTGTGGTTAAAAACCAGTCAGTAACATGGAAGGGAAACCATCAGGATTATTTCAGGAAGGGACAGAATTTTAGAGCAGAAGACAAATAGAGTTTGCCTTTTGAGGCCTTTGAGGTATTCACAGAAATTAAAAGAGAGTCACTTGTTTATTACTTTATTGCTTTTGTTGCTAGGGAATCAGGAAAACAAAATTGAAGATGGGAATGCATTTTATGTAGTATACACAGAATGAGTTTTAAACTGCTCAATGTTAAAAAAAAACATAAGTACTTCTGTAGACATTCTTGGTTTTCCTGCTTCTGAATTTGCGATTTCTTCTCGTTTCCTCTAGGGCTTCATTCGGATGTTTAGCATTGGTTACCTGATCCAGTGCTGCCTTCGGATCCCATCTACCTTCCGTCATCTGTTTACAAAGCCATCCCGGCTACTTTCACTCTTCTACAACAAGGAAAATTTCCAGCTTGGAGCTTTTCTGGGATCTTTTGTCAGTATATACAAAGTAAGCTTAAAACACGTAGAGTGACAATTGCCATGTGTTCTATTTTGCTTCTCAGAATATCAGGAAGATACTCTTCTAACTGGCACTGGCTTCTACAGAATGGCACTGACAACTCTAGTATTCTGGTCATCAAATTGTAAACAGCAAAGTAGTCTTCCATTCATTCTGTTTTTTGTTTTTTATGTGTGTGTCGCTTCTGAATAAACCAGATAGATTTTGCATCCTGGTACTGATATCACGAGATAGGAGGTACTTCAGAAAAAGTGAATTCAGATTCCAAAGGGACTTTGTGTTATGGAAATACGCTGTAGTGCAGTGACTGCAGTAGCAGCATTGCTGCCAAAGACAAGCCATTTGCAGATTTTTTGGCTCAAATATCTGGAATCCTGAGTAGAAGGAGCTTGCACAACATATCTCATGCGCAACTGAAGAGGCACTTGGAAATCAACCCTTCTGCACCATTAGAAGATGACAGATTGTGAGCTGATATACATTCACTCAGCATTGTTGAAGTTAATTGATTTATGTGTATTAATGCCAAGCAGGATGTGAACAAGCCAAGGGAGAGGTTGCGGCAAAGAACACTTCTGAAGTTGTTTTTGCACCTTTATGTTGTTAATCACATGTGCAGTTTTTCAACTGCCACTTTACTTGCTCTCTAAAGTTAAGACAATTCTTATTATTCATGGTAAACATTACAAACTGGAAATTAAATGAAAACCAAGCCTTACTTGTCAGCAAAACAGAATCCCACTTGAATTGCCATTGGATTGAGACACCAGAATTTTTAAGATTTCAAATTGTAATGGCAAAGTGCAAATGGGCTATTCGACTTTATTTGAAAATCAGATTTTTACTCCAATTTTACTAAAAGTGCCTCTGGGGAATAAAAGCATTTAAATAACAAAAGTTGAAGTGATTTTCACTTATTTTAAAACCTCCAACTACAAAGTATAGTTTGGTTCTATGAATATTTGTTTCATGAGACTGACACACTCTGACCTTCATTTGTTATTTATTAAGTAGGTGCTTTCTGTTATTGTTTACATTCCATAATTTATATTAATTTGGATTGCATTACGTTTTTCTTACAGTTTCAGATAAGCATGTAGGGCTGTAGAGATCCTAATCACTGCAAAAGATTGGATCTTGATGCATTTTGAACCTGAGGGCAGATTGAAATGCCTCTGTAGAGCTGCAGTAGCTGTACTGCTAATATTTTGTGTCCCCCTTTCTATAAATTATTGCCTGCAAACATGATTTTATAGAAAATAAGTCAGCTGTGTCAGCCTCATTTCCCTTTTTAAATACGATTACAAGTTTGATTAAAGTTGACTGTCATAATTCAATTCTGGGACACTGTAGACAATTTCTTCTGAATTTTTTTCATTTCAATGTTTTTTCAAGACTTTGAAATAACACATGAATTCACCTGAGGGCCACCAAGATGATTTGAGAATTGGGTCATCTGATGTGAAAGGAGAGACTGGGAAAACTGGGTCTTAAGCTGGAGAAAAAAATGGCTCATGGGACATCTTACTGCTATTTATACCTTGTGGAGGATGCAGAACGACAGAGACAGACTGTGTTTGGAGTTGTGCAGTAACAGGATGAAGGGAGATGGACACAAGATGAAATGCATGAGATTCTGATGAGATATAAGGAGATTTTAAAAGGTTGCCTGGTGAGGCTGTTTGGTCTCCATGTGTGGAGACACTCAGAACTTAATTGGATGATGAGTTCCTGAGCAACTTCCTTTAATTAGATTTGGAGGGTGGACTGGATGATCTCCAAAGATGTCTTCCAAAATGAATTAGTCTTTGATCCATGAAAAACACATGTTAGATGGGTTAAGAGGCTGACATTCATCTCCAATTAGACATCAGCAGGCTATCACACAGAACTGTGTACTGTTGTCCCAGCACTGGATCTGGTCTTACAGTCAAGTCTCGAGCCATTTGGAACTAAACAGATTTGCCATGGATAAGATTTGGCAGCAAAGTATGGATTTCCCAAAATGCTATGCGTTGTATTACTAGCTTATAGCAGAATATCTCCAGACTATGCATCCCAAAGGAGAAATGCCTGGGGCTCATCCTGCTGTCTGTTCACCTGCAGGGTACAAGCTGCTTCCTGCGCTGGGTACGGAACCTAGATGATGAGCTTCATGCACTTGTAGCTGGTGAGTCCACTGGAAGAAAGCTACATGGGCTCTGCTGGGCTTTTGCAAGTATTTGTCTTGCTCATAGTTGGATGTCTATCTCCCATTCCCTTTCCAGAGTTAGATGATAAAAGTAGGACTGTATACATTAATGCTGTGTCAATAGTGTTTCAAATACGAAAACACACAGTAGTGTTTGAAGTGTTTTCAAATATAGGCTTGTATTAAAATTGTAAGGTAGATTCAGTCAAGCATTCTTTCTGTTCGTTATGTTCAGCTTCTTGGACAATAAATTCTTGTATGCACAGATGTAAATTCAGCCTTTATTTTCCAAGTGCTTTGATGTGAGGTTTCAATACTGCCTCTTCCATACGTGATGGAATACACATTTGAAAGGATGGGCTCCATTGGATCCAAATAAAGACCCTTTTCCTACGAAATCTGTGTAGTGTTGGAGGACCTTCCCTCTTATTTATGCACCAATAGGTGTATCTACCTTGTAGATCCTCAGAGGTCTCTCTTGTTTGTGGGATGGAGGAGGAGATTTGAACCTGTGTGCCTGATGATTGAATGACAGCTGTATTTCAGGGTTTTTGTTGTTGCTTTTTTACTGACACAAACCATATTTTGATGGGCAGCACCAGAAGGTCACTAACTTTATTTTTTTTTTGGTAGCAATAGAAAGCATAATCTTTTGTAACATCTGTTGAGCTGATGTACTGTGACTGCAACAGTAAATCACAATAATGCTTCTTTTCTAACTGTTACAGGGTGTCTAGCTGGAATTTCTATGATGTTCTACAAAAGTACTACTATCTCTATGTATCTGGCATCCAAACTAGTAGAGGTAAGATGCTGTCCTCATAACAGAGCTCTTTATTTTAGCTTCATCAAACTTCATAGGCTTTGTCAGAATATTCCAGTGTAATCCAGAATTGAATATTGAGGCTGTGTTTTCCTAGGTGTGTACCAAGTGGCAGTGCCATTCTGTTGTCTCATTTCCTTCTCGTGTTTCATTTTAAATGTTCTTTATCGACTGCTCTTCATGTGTATTTGCCACAATTTTTGTTCATCTGTTTTCTTCATAGTTCTTTGCTTTGTAGCTTTTGCACATTTTTAAATCTGAAAGTTCCAAGAATGTGGATTTTGTCTCTTCTGCTAGGAACATAAATCAGAACTAGCCCTTAATTGCAGATTTATTGCCAAAAGCTACAGCTCAACTTCCTGCCTTTGTTCCATAATTTTGGCACTCAGATATGTGAGATAACTCAAAATAGCTTAGGTTTTAGTCTATAGCTGAAGTTGTTTGTCAGTATACTTCAACTGATTGAATTCCTGGCATTGCAGAGATCTTTGTTCTACTTACCATTTGACTAATTTGAATTATTTCTATGAAATTGTTAAAATTGGGAGCCCAGGAAAGAAAAAATTAAGGAGGTTTGTAGAACTCTGTATGTTGATTATACTTTGCTAACAAGCTATTCATTTCTTACTGTAACTTTTCCATAATACCAGGACATTGCCGCAGTTGTTTCCCCAGCAGCACCACTGGAATAATTTGACAGCAATCTCTTGTTATGCTTCATCTCCAAATCACAAAGCTTTCTCCTGCAAATATCAAGACTCTCGTTCCTTACCAATATTTATCCACCACCATTAATCGTGCTGAATTCGTTTAAAAAATATAAAAAGGAGGAAATTTTTATTCTTTTAGACATAAGATTAAACATAAAAAGAGAAGTTCTGCTCTGCTTATGCTTTTTCCCTCTAATCCTAGACCAGGCTTCTGAAAGGAGTTCACACAGTGGTTATATAAAAGCAACTGAGTTATCCGTATTGATTCTTTTGGAACATCAATTGGAAAAGGAAAAAAAACCAAAACAACACCATAACAATAGTATCTTGTATTGCTGATGGTTTTCTCTGGTCTTTGAGACACTGTGGCTGCAGTGCTGTGTGCTCTTTTTTTTTTTTTAAACTACTTTTATCGTCTTATGCAAGCCAAGGGTAACTGACCGAAGAGGCGTGTGCTGCTTTGGAAGGTCAAGCTGTGCTCAGGAAAATAAACTCTACATGTTTTCTCAGAAATAAAAGTATGTGATTTCAAGCTGTTTAAGAACAGTGAATATTCACTTTGTTGGAATACTTATTGCATTATTCTTTTGCTTTTCTCAATTGCAGAATTTATCCTAGCAAGCTTGGCTTTTATTTTTCTCTTTCTAAGATCTATACAGCCCTTTTAGCACTCCCAGCTGTTGCTAAGTCCTGTTCTATGTGTTTGTGGCCACTCATTCTATTGATCATGGACAACTTCTGTAAGCTAGTTGATGTTACATTTGTGGCTGTATATGAAAATATAAGAGCATGAGTTAGTAATGCTGGCATACTCTGAAAATGTAAAACAAAGCAAAATGTGAAAGGCAACTTTTTTTTTTTTTTAATTCCAAGTATTCTGTTTATTTTTATAGACAATATACTTCAAAGGCATTGAAGCAGGGAAGGTTCCCTATTTTCCTCATGCAGACAGCGTCATCTATGCCATTTCTACATCAATATGTTTTCAGGCAGTAAGTATGTTGTCTTCTAATAGGATATGAAGTTCTTCTAGTTAAACTGAAAAGTCAAATGGAATGAGGACCATCACTGTATGAGGACCATACAGTGAAAATATGTGATTTGGCAAGATGTTGTGGATCCTACAACCTATTTTTGAGTGTCACTGTGGGAAGATCATTTCTACAACTCACATTTCTGATATAACTATACATAACTATGTTACACAAAGCAGTAAATTCTTTGCAAAATATCTCAAAACACATTGATTCGGGAGACTTTATAAACATAGGGTCTTTCGTAAATGTATGAAAGGACCATTTCTCAAGCAGGGAAACAATATGTCATAATATTTTATGTTTCTTTTTAATTAACTGGAGGTTTTCCCTGTCAGCTAACTTGAAATGAAGTTGCCCATTTGCAAGAATCTGCAAAAATTAGCAGTTTTGAAATTTTACATTTGAAACAAGCTGTAGTTACCCTCTTTTCCCCTTTCCAAGTCAATTATGTACCCTCATCTTCAGCCCCTTTTCTGGCTGCATCAACTATAAAAGCTCCTTTTCAGCGTTACCCAAATTACACTCTTCCATTTCTTTATTGATCCGTGGATTTGGCAACATAATGTACCAGAGCAGGGTGTCCCCTGACCAGCCACAACTGGCTCTTACAGATTATTCTCCTTGTAGGCTGTCATGGAAGTTCAGAACCTGAGACCTTCATACTGGAAATTCCTTTTACGACTAACAAAGGGCAGGTATGCAATCGGGGTATTTTACAGCTTTCTTAAATATACCATTCATCACATTCAACTTTCTGTGTCATTCTCTGTCAACAGCATAGCCGTGGCAGTACATTTATGCTTATTTCCTGAGCATTTACTTTGCTTTTCAAGCAGGTTCCAGTCCACTTGATGTTTTTGACTGTTGGTTTAGTCTAATGACAGGAGCAAAGACTTAAATCTGGTTAAGATTCTTTAGCAGATGAGAATGTAACCAGAGGGCTTTTTATCTTTAGTTTCACTTGGAAAGGTGGAATGCTTTCAGGTTTCAGTGGAAATGAAGAATCCAGTAAACAAATAGAGAAGTTGATGAAATCATTTACTACAGTGACTTACAGCTTGATATCATTATGTGTTTGAAAGTATTAATAGAAAATTTCTGAGTATTTCGTAAGGATACTTTGAATATTCGACAGTTTTTTTATGGAACATCTATTTCCATATATATCTATTTTTCATTGAAAACTAATGAATAATTTTCATTGACTTTAACCATAAATTTACACTGCAGTATCTTAAAATATATTTTAAAATAGATTTTAAAATAGATTGAATTATAAAAACACAGTTTGGTGAAGTGTGCATTAATACGTGGGAACACTGTATGGCAGAAGCAAAGCATCAAAACTGTGCTAAGAGCAGTTTATGAATGGGACTATAAAAGATAATCTTGATAATACTGAGAGTTTCTTTCAGTCTTTTGGATGCGACCTACTTAACTGAGGGACAGCATTGAGAGGAGGCTCTGCCTCTGTCTAGACTGTAAAAACAGAAGAGAGATCATTCCCTGGAGCATGTTGAACCTACACGCCCAGGCACACAGCACGCTATTAGCTGGACATCAGGTGACTTCACACATTGCTGGACGTTGTGGGGTGCTCTCTCAGGATGCCTGGAAGCAATCCACGGGCAACCTCTGTGGCTGTGCAAACATGATGTGGGAGATGATGTCAATGCAGATGTCCAGCTTTGGCTGTATTTTTCTCTCTTGTGCTAATCATAAGATTGCTTTAGTTGACAGAGAAGAGGGAATAGTAATTGTGCTCATTTACTTCACCCTAAGCAAATGTCTGTAATAATAATTTTGACGCTCTCTATAGAAGCAGTTTATTTTGACATTTCATAGGTCATTCATTCAATGGTTTTGAAGAGTAAAGAGATGAAAATAACACCCATTAAATTGTTATCCAGACTTAGGCATGGCCAGACTTCGCTCTGCAGCAGTGGGACAGTAGTGTAGTTTGTTCGGACCTTTGTTTTTTGTGGAGTTAAAAGTAGAAAGGAGCTCTCTCCTTTCCACTTTTATATAAGTCATGTTTTATAAAGCATAATTACACAAAGCACTAGTCATCAGATCTGTCGAATGTTCATGGGTTGGCTTTTTTTTGTATAAATAAATGAATGATCTGTTCACTCTCTCATGTCTGTGCTTTCTCAGGTTTGCTTTGATGAACAGGAAAGTTTTGGATGTATTTGGTACTGAAGCATCCAGGAACTTCAAGGATTTCACGCCTAAGCTTGACCCAAGATACACTGTTGTACCACCAGAGCTACCTCTGGAGCTGTCATGAAAATAATAGTATACCTTGTCATTGAATGTGACCAGCGTTTTGTCCTGAAAAGTTGAATAACTTAACAGTAATGTATATGGAGGAGGGCTTTGGCTCCACTTCAGTATTATTTCAATGAGAAATGCTTTTTACCAATCAAAAGTACTGGAGCTTTGTAGGAAGGTGTGGCTTAGTGATTAAGCCTCTTCCACGTACAGAACTTATTTCTGGGTTACTGTAGTTGGCTGACAGTATGGTAGATTCCTGAATGAATTAAACAAATGAGTAATATATTTAGAGAAGTACAACATACATAAAACACAAATATGCATCATAATTTCAAAAATTTTATTCATACCAGTAGAATACTTGGTAAAACTAAAAGTAATTTTGAAGTTAGAAGGGAAAATGTATGGCATAGGTTAGGTCCAGAATTTCACCTGATCTTAAACCTATTGCAGTCTGGCGAAAAAGTCTCCTTGGCTTTCCCAATTGCGTTGCTGATTTATCTCAAAAGAGCCACTGCCCACTCATTATTTAAAAGGACAATATTTTTACAGAGCTGTGGTTGCAAAGTAATGCATTCCTTAGTGAAAAAAAAAAAAAAAAGAAGTGCATTAGTGCAGAAATCACATTCCAGGGCTGTAAATCCCAGTGACAATACAGAAAACAGACAAGGAAAATAAAAAGGCAATACCAGCGACTTGTGCGTAAGGAGCAGCAGGGTGTGGTGGTTTGCATTTGCCAAGTGGAAAATGACAAAACAGGCAGGGGAAGGAATGAAATGTTTCAGCCTCCAAGATGGTACTGGAAACAGCAGTTACAAAAATAAAAAGCCGAGAACAAAACAAACAAAAAAAAAATCCTCCAAAATATACTAAAATTAAATGTTTATTTTTAAAGGGCTTAACATTGTCCCTTTAGATGTCATTGGCTTGTTTGTCAAGCAGCATGCCAGCCAGCATTTCCAGTGGCCTTTAGAAGGGAACTGACCTCTGAGGTTAGGTTGTTTTGACGATCATATTGATAGTATTTTTTCCTTGTATTTGGTGAAGAGTGGTTTTCTATTGCCCATCACACAGCCATAACTGTGACAGTTACATTAAATCTGATATTGTACTCAATGCAAGTAAATACCTATTCAAAGTCCATCTCATTTTTATCCTACATATTTCTGCATATATTAATTTGTGTTCTAAAGCAAGACCTTGACATGCTAATTGCCTTTTTGTCTTTTTCTTTCCTAGACTCCATTCATGTGAATGGTGTTTGTTGCTCTAGAACTTAATGGAAAGTTGAACTATGTTTGAATTCAACTGAAAAGACATGTGGTAAGCCAGGGAGCAAAAGCTAAACTATTTTGCACGTATTTTAAGAAAAAAAGAAGAAGAAATCAGTGTTTCTGCTGAAAGTCTTTGTCAGATAATATGAATTGGATTAATTAATAGAATCTTTGTCTTGTAACACTGTATTCCTACCCCAGCAGTACGCATCTTTTAATTCTCATTAATTTAATTTCATATTACTGACCAAACAGTAATTTTATTGAATTTACAGAGATGTCAGGAAAATTGTACCAGTCTGAGCACAAAATCAGATTCTTCATCAACTGCTGTATCAGTGACTCTCTATCGATGTTACTTCAAACTTTAAAACAGCAGTTGTCCGAGTTAGTGTGAATACAATTCTGCACGCCAGTTTGTAAGCAGTATTTTATTGCTGGAAATATTATTTTAAAATTCCTCAGAAGGAAATAAAACCTAATTCAACAAGAAGTTTAAAAGGATTGTAATAGGTTTGTAGTGTTTTTCCACTGGAATATGGTCTAAAGTATTTGACCGTGTAAAGTCTGAGAAGTTATATATTTTAGGTAACATGTTAGAACTCACACTCTATCTTATGAATGCTTTCTAGTATATATATAACTATATGCTGTTCTCAAACTTCAAAATATTTTATAAATGGATTAATTTTCTTCACTGGAATGATAATTGTGATTGTTTCTCTATTTGAGTTAAAAAAAAATAAAAATCCAAGTCCTACATCTCAGCAGCTAAAAGTTTTGTCTTAAGTTTTCTTGCTTCCAAAATTCAGTCTTTGTTTTATTTTCATGTAATATAAAAAATAAAATAAATTATTTTTATTCAAATCAAATATATGTAAGGAAAAAAAAAAGTAAAGTCCTAATGTTTTTCCCAATAATAAAGAGTTGCTGCTTGAAAAAAGTGACTTTTTCTTCATGTTGTTGTTAAGCTATATGAAATCATGAGCGAAGTGGTTAGTACTCTGATTAAGGAATGCTGGGCATGTGACCAAGCATTTATATTATGCGTGTTTAGAAAATCAAGCCCTGACACAGTGGAAGTGAAGAGGTAATGCAAAACCAGTTCAGCTGATAGCTTCAGCTCCGCACTTTCATGTTTAATTGGAAAAAATGATTGACACCATTTAATCTTTCTTTTCTAAACCACTACAGAGGAAGCCACATAACCCGTCCTTGAGGTGGGGAAGGGCTGCATGCCTCCAGCTGTGTAGTTGCTGTGTAGTTATCTGGTTGGCCTCATGTGACTGAACAGTGTTCCTTCCCACTTGATGGGGCACAGCTATTGATTTATTTATTTTCATCATGTGATGAATATCTGTCTGATCACCTCCAACATCTTGTGGAAGAAGTTGATTTTGCAGAGGAATCCTGGAGGAGAATCACTCGAGGTGGTGGGAATGAGGACCATCAGTATACATTGAAAAGATGTGATTATGTTGTGTTATGTATACTTTGCAGAAGTCCTTTTCATTGTAATTCCTACTTCGATGGATGGATACTCATTATTATTCCTTGCCTGCCAACTTTCAGCTGATTTTTGTGCCATGTGAGATTGCTTCCATTGCAAACTTCTGTCACCTTTCATAGTTCTTGCTGGAGGTGATGCTGAAGGTGCTGGCATCTGAGATTTACTAAAGAAGAGGAATTCTGTTTTAGAGTCATTTTCATTCTGAAAACTTTTGCAGGTTTGCCAGATTTATGTGCTATAGATGCTTCCACCAGTAGATGTTTTGTTTCTTTAGAATTTTATTAATAAAAGAAAAGAGTAGGTAAAAATGGCACGTTTTTGTACATAATTCTATCACAGCTCATGAGGAAAGGAAGTAAAATATCAGAACTTTTTCAGCATAGGGGGATCGATTTCACTGCTGAAGGTAAAAGTTTGAGCCGCCTTGCATTCCCTCATACCTGGGTCTCCAGGACAATCTCAAAGTCATGGCTTGCAGGAAGTCTCTCTCCTGGGAAGGCTATTCTTAGAAAATAGTATATTTCTGTTGTGTGGTTGAGAAGCCTTATGTTCCCATAGTATCATTTCTCCACCTCGATGATAACCAAGATGCTTTCCATAACACAGACAATCTTTTTTCCTAGGAGCTTCCTGCAGTCCTTCATACGTGGAGCGTTTTATCCCTTCTGGTCTCAGCTGTGGGACACTTCTGAGAACTGCCAGTAAAATTCAATTCTCAGAAAGCCTGTTGGGTTGTTTCCATTCTCCTGTGAGAGTATTCCTTCCTTTTGCCCTTGCCACCATGTTCTTGTTTTTTCAGGAAGTGGGAAGGGATGCATTTCAGATGCTCACTGACATCCCAGACAGCGATCTGTGCTTTGAGCTCACCTATGCTTGGTGAATGAAACATTCAGGACAGCCTGCATGGGGATATTTCAATTTCATTTACTCATGTTGAAATGGGCTTGTGCCACTTGGGACATAGCACTCACCTTTTGCAGCTGCTAGATTTTGTCCTTCCATAACCATCAGATCTGAGACTGTTTTACCAACAGACTTCCCTGAACACAGCAGGGAACAAATGTGAATTAGCATCCACTTTGATCTGAGGGATTTTTTTTAATTCCTGGCACAGACCAGGGAGTTTTTCGCTTGCAAATTAAAACAGAAGGAGGTCAGAAGAATTTAAAGTATTAATGCTACGCTTTGCCCATGGTGGAAGAGGCTGATTTGAAGGCCTGCTGGGTGATTATTTTCCCAGGTCCATGGAATCCAATCAATATTTTTCCCTTCAACTGCCATAGCAGACGCGGCAATCATAGAAACATTAAAGTTGGAAAAGACCTCTAAGATCATCTAGTCTACCCATTCTCCACCATGCCCACTAACCACGTCCCTCTGTGTCACACTTCCACAGCTCTTGAACTCCTCCAGGGATGGCAAATCCACCACCTCCCTGGGCAGCCTGTGCCAATGCATTACCTCTTTCAGAGCAGAATGTCCTGATATCCAACATGGCTTCTGTGGCCATCAGAGTGGGCACTAACAGGGGTGTTCCCAGGTTTGCCCAAAGGTCACAAGAAACTTGGTCACATAAGGCCAAGGGCAAAAGCAAGGGATGTTTCTGTGTTCTGAAGGCTGATTTCCTCTTATAAAGTCAAGAAATGCCTTCTCACTTCAAGCAACAAAAGCTTTTGTCCTAGGGAAAAAGGAGAGGTTGGGCTGGGCTAAACAGAGCTCCTGTGAGAGTCCCACATCAAAACTCTGCTGCTTGCACCATCTTAACGCACACATACGTAAACAAAGTCCTGTACGATCCAGAAATGATGCTTTGCTCATTGTCTATCACACATTAAAAAAAAAAAAAAAAAAGCATTGCCAGCCCTGGCAACTTGTGATTATATTCCCAAATGTCTGTAACTGTCTCACGCTGAGATGTTGTTACGTCTCCTTGGACACATAAAAATAACATAATGTAAACAACATGAAGTCCTTGCAGACAACAGTTCCTGGTTCTCCTGTCTGGTGGTCACAGCCTGGTTGGAGGGGATAGTTCAGCTATTGAATGGGTCACACGTGTGCCAGCGAGGCCTGGCCCCATGCACAGCATCCAGATTTCTGCTAGAGCTTCACTCCAGCTTCACACAGAATTCACTCACACACCGAAGTTCATGTCAGACTATGACTACTACCACTGTGGTGTTTGTTTATCTGTTGACTTTTAAGAGAGAACAAAGCGGAGGCTTTCATTTATTGCCTCAACGTGCCTCAGTACTGTGTGGGTACCACGTAAAACAGGGATCAGGCCCCACGTCAACCACAGCTGCTGGGGCAGCCTGGGCAGGAGACAACCTCAGTTCACCACAGCTCCTCCACTACCAGAGCCATCAGGCCTTATTCTGGATCAGTGTTCCTGTTGTGTTTAGGAAATCAGGCATATTTTCACAAGCCACATCTTCACATTGTTCCTGCAAAAGTTGTCTCTTAGAATCACAGAATTAAGGTTCAAAAAGACTAATAAGACCCTCTCAAGTCCAAGCTCCCCTATGTCCTTACCTATTCCTCTTTGTGTTCCTGGTACCCAGCCCTGAGAAATGCTGTATTAGCCCCATCACACTGGGCATATTGTTTCCCCAAGGATGATGGACACTCCAGGCATCCTGGTTGGAATTCCCAGGCTACATGAATCCTATGGGATACTACATACTACATACTCTTGTAGGAGTGCACTGGTATTCTGCACAGAGCTGATCTAGGACTCTTGGCTACAGACTCAGGTTAATTAGTAAAGGAACTTTCCTCATTACCCAGCACTTTCCATCAGGCAAGATGGCTCTG